TTGGCAAAAGTGTAAAATTATATTTATGCACTCGTGATTTTGATCCAATTGGCCCCTTGCCGAAACAATTCGAAATGGAAGACCATGCAAGTTAGTATCCTAACAACATAAATAAATAAAGGCTGTTTTGGTAAAAGTGTGAAAAAATATTTTTAACACTTGTGTCATTGACAAGCTGTCCTTTGCCTTAATCAAATGGAAGAATACCACACAAATTATCTTGCTACCAAATATGAAATACATCTGTCAATAAATAAAAGCTGTATGGAAAAAAGTGTAAATATCTATTCTAGCACTGGTGCCCATGAAAAAACTGACCTCAGTCTCTATCCAAAGGAGAAAACTTTTCAAATTCATGTTAATTCTTAAACCATTGTTACTGGAAGAACAATCAAATTGCTTTGTTTTACCTCGTACGGACAGAATGACATTCTGACGGACGAACGGTTCAATTACCTGAAGCCCGGGGTTAAAAAAAGAATTCTATAAATAATAGGATTATCATACTTTATGTTTCTTTTATTGACATTTTATACAACAGCCCGGTGTATGATTTCCTAAGCACTCTTAAATATCAAAATATTTTCTTTTCATATTTATCAACTCTTAAACATTTTCTTAAAAAATGTTTTAAATTGTACAGATAATCAATAGATAACAAAAGCTATAATTAATTTCAGAATTGTAAGGAACAATTTTTGTATTGTGTTCAGACATGATTAGAGGCAACATTCATTCATTGATAAAAAAATAGCAATTCTTTAGTTATTTTTCTCGACCGATAACAATCATTGTTTTGTAAAAGTTATAAATTCAGCCTCTTAATCGCGCTATGCATATTCAATGTATAGATGATATTGAATGGGTGAAGCTTCAATTCTGAATTTATTATCATGATAGACTGCCATGATATTCTTTTTCAAAGAATTCAAGAATTTTTCTTATGAACTTACACGAATATAATATTCTCATGATCAAATTCTCGTAAAGAACAGTAATAAAATCAGTTTAAACTTTTGTAAATTACGTACCTTGTTTTGATAAACGCTTATTCATATCATCCTTTATTCTGGAAAGTTGTAAGATGTTAGATAATGTTAAACAACATATACAGATTTGGAACAGTTTTCATGCTAGAAAGGGGGAAAGAAATATTAAAGGTTACCTTCTATTTAACAATAAGATGTTGTACATTTATACGCAAACGTCAAATCGACAACTTCCTCACTTTCGAACGGTTTACGTAGTTTGAAATAGAAATCGAGTTTGTATCATGGTTAATGGATTATATTTTGGTTGCAAGTTTCACTAGTTTGTACAGAAGTTTTGATAATTATTTTGGAACGTTTTAACATGTTTTAACAAGTATATGGTATTTTCATTTGCAATATCAAAACAAGTAGATAAACATGTATTAAGCTGACATTTTATCAGTTATATTTGTATTGAATTTAGAAATGAATTCCTAGATCTTTTACTTTTAGATCTCGAGACATGTTTCTTAAATTGTTGTTCTTTTACATGTGAAATAACCCGGCTACACTTCTACTTAAATATACTACTCGTCTGGTATTGCACTAATTAGTTTGGTTTTGTATTTGAAACGTTTTTAGTCAAGAAAAGACTAGTAAATGCAATGTGACATGAGTGTAGTGCAACATTGTTCTGTTTGTGTCACTTCTGTAGTCGGTAGTATAAGATAACAAAAAAAATATCAAAGCATGTACAATTGCTTTTTTACCTATAATGCTACTCATTTTATACAAATATCAATAACTTATCATGGTAAGAAATATAAGAGAAATATAAAAAGTTGATATGTTCATAAATCAAAACAAAAACTGTCATGGACTTTACTTTTCATAATGTTCTTTGCCTGTTATTATGTTTTCAATGATAATTGGATTTTACCAGAATTGTTAATCCAGTGATCACCGTCTCATGAACGCTCCTACAGATGGTTTGAAATTCTTACTTATACTGTTTCATCTGCAAAGTTTGAATTCGGCATGGCATTGCCAGGGACATGGGTTGAATCTTGTAGTTGACATGATCATCTGTGAATAAGTTATGTTACTTTGTACCATTTTTAGATGAAGATAGAATTTTCTAAACACTGGGCTTATTACCAGATATAAACAAATTATAATCAACATAAAAGTAATTTCTCCTGATTAATTTTAATCAAACTGCTAACGCGTTCTGTTATTATGCATACGGTAAAAGAAAATAATTTATTAAGATAATATCAGCTTTGCAAAAGAACTTAACATTTATCTGTTTGATACGGTGCCGCTTATGTGACATTTTCAACACTTTTTTTTCTGGGACTTAATTCGTAAAGACGATTTTTTTCGTAAATAAAAAATGTTAACTCGTTTTACGAAATATCATTTCCTAATTTCGAAAGAATAATTCGTAAAAGCAAAACATCATTTTGTAAATACGAATTTATAGTTCTTTTTTACGAGATAGATTCTGTGAGTACACGCAATCACTATAGCAACAATAGCTTCGTTCTTGTCGGCCAAATAACTTAATACCTATGGCATTTACTTTCTTTTTATTTAATGAAGGAAGAAACTAGTGAGACCCTGGCCAAAAGATGACCCCTACTGATTTTCGGGTCTGTCGTGACAGTCAATGTTTTAATGACATTACTGTATAAATCATACATGGCCTTATCCAGCTATTTTGGGAAAAGGCCTTTTGTTATAATTTTAGAAACTTATGTGATATTTTGTAAAATTGAGAAATTTTCAAAAATTAAAAAGCTATCATAAAGGTGGAATATAAAGAGGGTATAAACGAATTATTATTTCGTTAAAAGAAATAAGATTTCATAAAAAAGAATTTATATTACGTAATTACGTATTAATATTTGGTAAAACGAAATAATATTTCGTAAAAACTTAATAATATTTCGTAAAAAACGAAATAATATAAGTAAACATTACGAATTAAGTCCCGGAAAAAAAGTGTTTGAAGATCGTAGTTTCATGCTTTTATGTAATTGTTGATTTGATTGTGTTCATTTGTTATGATTTATATAATGTATAAAGTAAAGAAACGGTTAAAAGTCACGCACCGTTTACTTATGATACTTTGCGGTATGAAAATACTTAATGATTACTTTATTAATTGTTTTGGTAAATGTTATATTATTTTATTCAGAAAATGCAATCTATGCACCTATTTGATTATTATTATGCTGAATATTTTTGCGAAATGAAAATACTTTATGATTACTTTATTAATTTTTTTGGTAAATGTTATATTATTTTATTCAGAAAATGCAATCTATGCACCTATTTGATTATTATTATGCTGAATATTTTTTTTCTAATAAACAAAAATAATTAAATTTAATCAACAGTCTAATTTGCTACTTTATACTTTAATATAAAGTCGTATATATGAACTTTATGAAATAAGGGCGCTTTTTATTTATCATATTTATTTAACTTTTTGAACAAATGTATTACATTAAAAGAAAAAAAACTATTTTTTAAGTTTAGCTTTATTACATTACCCACGGGCAGAAGTAAAACAAAACCATTTTGTTTGTAACAATCCTCATACATTTTCTGGTCTTTATAATAGAGTTAAATTAGCAAACTCAAAGAAAATTCCTCTATATCAAACCAATTTTAACCTAATCCCCACGCCAAAAGATAACTTTGAAAAAGGCGGTACGGACAACACAAATAAATGCATACGCCTGGTTGATAATTGCTTAACGACGTCGTGTACCTTTTTCATCATCTAGATTGGTTTGTTTTATATATGAAATTATTATTCATGATTTTTGTTAAAAATTAGTAATATCATCGCCATCTAATGTTGATTTTCTGAACTTCTTTTTTGAGCTCCAGTCTTCAAAAATCTATAAGAATTTCGTCCGTAATTGGGGAAATCAGTGAGTATTCAAGTAAATATTGAATAAATATGACTTTAAATCATATTAAAGCATCAAAAAGAAAACAAAAAATAGATCTTTTTTGTGTGTATAAGATGTAATTGTATTTCTTCTCATGAACTTCACGAGAGTTTTCTCACACGGGGCAGCCACTCATGAGAATACTATTTGTATAGCTCACTCGATAAAATATTGTTTATCTTGCCCAAAGTCACAGACATACTCTATTTAGTTCTATTGTAACGGTTCGACATTATCGTTACACAAATCTAACGAAAATACAGGCGTGTTAATGAAAAAGTTAGCTAAATGCGGCCATTTCAAACCCGTGAGACATTTTATCTTTTTATTTTAAAATGTCATAGGGAACGTATTTACCTCGATATCTTACAACAGCAAGGAACATTTTGGCTCCAGTGGCCGTAAAGGTCATGGGTTTGACTCTAAATTTTATCCCTCTTTTGTCTATAAAAAGTCGAGGAACAGAAAGAAATCCGCGACATTTTTGTCAAGTGTTGTAGAAATTCTACGAAAATTTCGAAGGGTACAATAATAGGCCGCAACGTTTTGTTCCTCCACAACGGTCTCATAAAAAATCGCGGCAAGTGAAAGCAATTTTCAAACGAGTCTTTTTGCTCAAACTAGACTTTTTACAAAGAATGAATCAAAACAAAATATTGCGGATTTTAGAGATCGCAATGAAAAGTATGAAAAAAATTCAATGCCTTACCTGACAGGGTCATGATAAGCAAAAAATAACATTTTGAATATTTTATGAGGACTGTATATAATTATAGTCTTGTGCACATCAATTCCCTTCAGGTATCCCAGTTGATTTATATTCAAAATTAATTGTTTAAGGCTTTTGAATTTCACAGGGAAATTTAAACATTGTGAAACAAAGTAACTTGAACGTCCTGTTCTTTTGCGTCAGTAAAACTTTTAATTCTGTTCGCATACTTTTTTTCCGTAATTTTGGTTTATTTAGGGGATTATAATTTCTCATTGTGAATATTAATGTTCCATTTATATACTATTACATTGAATAATATGATGATAAAGGTATTTCGACGCATAACTTTTCATGCCTATCGTCATGTAAACAGAAACAAGAGACGCTTTTATTTAAATATATTGTATATGCTATGTAACGTAGTTCACACATACTTTATCTAACACTTTACTGATCTGCTTATTTTAAAAATAAAATAATTCAAGTGTTTGAAACGGGTCGAAATAGCGGAATTAAACAAAAATAAACACAAGGACATAAGAGATATGGAGTTTTTGTTTCGAATATACATCGTTTACATAATCCTCCGTGGAATAAATGCAAAAGGTAATTCTCAAATATTTCACATTTGTAAATGTTAACAAAAATAATATATAATTTTGATGGGAAGAAAAGCTTTTCTTGCGCATTAATTGTGCAATCTTTACTGTTTTAATAAAATTCATTGTATTGTTCTTGCTTTGACAATTTTTAGGTTTTTTGTTCGTGATAATATATTTTGATAGAGTTCTTCATTCGGTTGCATAGTAATCTCTAGATATTAATGAAGAAACACTAAAGTAAAGCTGTTTTCTCAACTAAAAATGAGAAAACATACTCGTACACCTCATGAGTTGTTGTTGTTATTGTTGCTTTGGCATATCAAAACTTCACTCGAATATATCTAAAAATAATCTGTGATTGCAAACGTTAACAGTTATACGAGGGGCATTTTCATATAAGTGTTAATGGCAGCGCGTTATTTTAATAAGTAATACCTGTGAAAAATGATAAGTAGGTCCATTTAAAGATTCAACATGGCCCATTACACACTTTTTCAGCTTCAGAACTCATTCCGAAAGCAGTTTTGAACTGTTCCTTAGGTACACTGTTAAACACTGGTAGAGAGTGCTTCCGACGTCACAACGGGTTTTGAACCGGCGACAGCGAAGGCAAAATTTTGATGTATGGACTAAACCAAAATTCACAGGATATTTGTCAGTACTAAAGGCGGGATGTAGTAAATACCTAAATTATCTGCTCCTCTAAATAAGCTTCAGTCAAGGCTGACCGATGCGCATTGATTATTTAGAGCAGTGAGATCATGGTTAATATAAAATATTCCAGTAACACTACCCCTGTCAGGTACATCTACACTGGTCTCTATTCCATCATCGTCAAAATATGGAATCTACATAAACCTTTTCACTTTCCTGCTACGTCGATCGCTGTTTTCACACACCAACATTCTGTTACAGATTTTATTCTTAGGCTTTAACAAATTAAGCCACGTTTAAACCTCATGTGGCAATTTCTTTCATGCGTCTAGGATCTCAATCTTTGAACTTAGTCAATAAGCACGAGACTTTTTCAGCACTCTCCTTTTTCTAGTCAGAAGTTTGCAAATGCAGGATCAAAAAGGCGCACACTTTTCTTAGCTTAAACTTTTCTTTCAAGAAAACACATATGATGAACTAGGGTCCTATATGTCACATATCTCCTCCACGGTACATCTTGCATCTTCATCAATTATGTCTTTGACAGTGCTGATGTCTTTTTCAGAAGTAGCAAAACTGGGCCGCCAAGGGAGGGTATAATCCTTAACAATAGTTCTACATTCTTTAAACATTGACTTTCACCTGGAAATTGAACAATTATGGAAGGGCATTTCTCCAGAAACTTAATCTAGATCCGTTGTTATTTCTAGCGTGCATGTATCCAATCACCCGTGAATTTTGCCCTATATCAAATCACAATGCAACTCAGACATCTTTACAACAATAACAAAACAATAGGCATTAAAATGACCTGCTTATTTATATAGTATTGCTCCTGCTAAAATAAAACTGTTGGATAGAAAAATCAATAATGTTATAGATGTACTTTCACGTGCAAGTCATGGATACATTTAGTTGTTGTCACTTATTAAAATAACCCCTCTTACCTATCGGCTCTTTTTTAAAAGCGGTCTAGTAAATATCACTTACCTACCGACTCTTTTGTTAAAAGCGGTCTAGTAAATCCCTTACCGACCGCTTAACAGGTCTGCAAATATATACCGACCTGTTTTTGTTCTATTGTTTTCAATACAATAGAAAATATGTGAAGTCGAGAAACTCGTGCATTACACAATATGAACTGTAAACGCAGAAATTTTGAAAAATTACGCTGAATTGTGCAAATTTATATCGGGGGGGGGGGGTTAATGACCATTTGATAAGGAAAAAGGGTCGATATATATTTTTAAGTACATTTCATCTTTAATTGAAATAAATTAGCGCATACGGCTGTAAGGACCCTCATAATATATATTCCAGATTATTTGTGAGAAAAACGAACTGGCTTCTGTTCTGGCGTTGAAGGATATCAATGAGTACAATAGCGCACATTTAGCCTTTCTTTATAGTTTGCATTTCGGTAAACCTAACACAATTGCCGAACTATATAGTAGCTTCATAAGATTCTGGTTTTCGGCAACTATTTCCACAACTATGTCTGACTTTGCACAATCCTGCATTATTTTAACAATTCTGCATTATGGGATATATGCGACGATTATATTATTGTTGCAAATCGAATCAAAGTCAACTTCTGCAGTTTTCTTTCCAAAAATATTACTTTCAGTGAGAGTATAGTTCATATTAAGTATAAGACCGTTTTTTTCTCATTTTTTCCCCAGTATAAACATATGAATAACGGATGATGCTAATTAAGAATACAGCGAAAGAACATTCTTCCAAACACGAATGACATTCTAAAAATATTTAAAATCAGCCATCATAAAAAACTACAACAAACAAGAGGGCCATGATGGCCCTGAGGTCGCTCACCTGTATATAGGCCCCCCAACCCCCCCAAACGTTGCAGGGCCAATTTAAACCAAGGGCTTTTATTTGCACAAAACTTGGTAGACACCCATAAGAAGATGTTTCATGCTAAACATCTAAGCTCTAGCTCACTGGGCTTTTTAAAAGAAGATTTTTTTCTAAGTTTTTACTATACACATATAGTTAAAAACAATGACACCCCTGGGGCCGGGCCAGTTTTGACCCCAGGGCTTTTATTTGAACAAACTTTGTAGACACTCACTAAAAGATGTTTCATGCTTAATATCTTAACTCTAGCTATTTGGGTTTTTTCAAAGAAGATTTTTTAAGTTTTTGCTATACACATATAAGGAAAATCAATGACCCCCGGGGCGGTGCAAATTTTGACCCCAGGGCTTTTATTTGAACAAACTTGGTAGACACATATAAGAACATGTTTGATGCTAAATATCTTAGCCATAGCTCTTTGAGTTCTTTAAAAGAAGATTTTTTAAGTTTTTACTATATGCATATAGGGAAAATCAATGACCCCCCTGGGCGGGGCCAATTTTGACCCCAGGGCTTTTATTTGAACAAACTTGGTAGACACTTATAATAACATGTTTCATGCTAAATATCTTAGCTCTAACTCTTTTGGTTCTTTAAAAGAAGATTTTTTAAGTTTTTACTATATGCATATAGGGAAAATCAATGACCCCCTGGGGCGGAGCCAATTTTGACCCCAGGGCTTTTATTTGAACAAACTTGGTAGACACCTATAAGAACATGTTTGATGCTCAATATCTTAGCCATAGCTCTTTGAGTTCTTAAAAGAAGATTTTTTAAGTTTTTACTATATGCATATAGGGAAAATCAATGACCCCCCGGGGCGGGGCCAATTTTGACCCCAGGGCTTTTATTTGAACAAACTTGGTAGACACCCATTAGAACATGTTTCATGCTCAGTATCTTAGCTCTAGCTCTTTGGGTTCTTTAAAAGAAGATTTTTTAAGTTTTTACTATATGCATATAGGTAAAATCAATGACCCCCGGGGCGGGGCCAATTTTGACCCCAGGGCTTTTATTTGAACAAACTTGGTAGACACTCACTAGAAGATGTTTCATGCCAAATATCTAAGCTCTAGCTCTTATGTTTTTTTAAAAGAAGATATTTAAAGTTTTTTCTTTCGGTTGCCATTGCAACCAGAGTTCTGCATGGAATTAAATTCTTTGAACAATTTTTAAAGGTGACCACCAAAGGAATATTCCTGTGAAGTTTGGATGAAATTGGCTAAGTGGTTTATGAGGAGATGTCATTTAAAGTAAAGGTTTACGGACGGACGACGGACGACGGACGGACGGACGGACGGACGGACGCCGGACGAAAAGCGATCACAAAAGCTCACCCTGTCACTTTGTGACAGGTGAGCTAAAAAACCAACTAACATGACTGTATATCTACGTGTATTACTAATATGTATTCATAGAACCCTGTCTTTTAGTTTCCTCCGAAAAAAGAGTATATTTTAATAATATTAGAAATAGCCTGAACATCTATGTACCACGAAATTTATTATATATAAAGATAAAGTGTTCCGTTTTATGATAAGACAACTTTTTTATCTTCCTCAATATTTGTATATATTATTAAAGACAATCAACCTCCCTTCTTTTTGAATCATAAGCTTTATTTGAAATGAAGAAGATAAGGACAGTCCATACATGACTACTATGTTATAAGAACTCAATTTATATAAAGGGTAATGGACTGCTCTTTCTCTTTCCACTTTTTTATCATAATTGTCAATATCCAACTTTAATTCTTTTTTGGGACAACTGGTTTTAAACACACAGTATTTTAGCTGTTTCAAATTTGAAGAACTGCCGAATTTGTTTTAATAAATACTATTGTCTTGCTGCATCAAGCCCTTGACATTACTTTACCTCATGTATAAAACATAGTGTAAGCGTTACACTATAGACGTGTCAATGAAAACTATTATTTGCGCTTTAAATAATCTTAAAGTTGTGTATTTGATAAATATATAGTGGACATTTAAGTTTTTAGCTCACCTGAGTTAGCTGCAAGGTGAGCTTTTAGGATCGTTGAATGTCCATCGTCCGTTCACATATGTTCGCTAACACTAGTGATCATATTTATGTCACAATATCATCATCAAACTTTATCAGGATGCTTGACTAGGTTATTGGTCGGATGAGTTCGAACATAGAACATCTCGGATGAAAAATTAGGTCACAGGAGCTAAAAATAGAAAAATCTTGTTAACACTCTAGTGGATACTGTTTTTATCCAATATTCTGGAGATTGATCTGAAAGAATGTTTTGATGTTTCGAGGTCAAGTTTGAATATCGGTCATCTAGGGTCAAAAACTAGGTCGCATCGCCAAACCTTGTTAACACTCTAGTGGTCATATTTTTTGACTCAATTGTCATCAAACTTGGTCAGGATGCTTGTTAAGGTATTTGCTTGGATGACATCTCGGTCACAGGAACAAAAAATAGAAAAATCTTGTTAGCAC